TCGTTTTTGTTTAGTAAAATTTATTCCATAATTAGCAGTCTAATGCTTGAAATTTCTATTTAGTTATTGATGTATCTCTTCAAAATAGGAATATATTCAAAGTAAAGATGCAATATATCACTGTTAGGTATATTCATTGATATAGTAAATAGGAATAATAATTATGTTTTAAACTACCTTTGTGTATATTTAACAAATAGAAATTCAATCAATAAATATTTGAAGAGTACTTCAATAACTAAATAGAAATTTCAAGCATTAGACTGCTAATTATGGAATAAATTTTACTAAACAAAAAGGATAGAAATTTTCATAATATTATGTTTTAATACTTGGAAAATTAATGAATTGTATCTATTGAAATAATTGACAATAATTATTTTCTTTATAATCACATTTCTTCTTCATTTTTTTTTCTAATTTTTTTTTACTTTTAGATTCATTTTGACATACGTCATCAAAGAAAAATCCGTGTCAATTAACTATAATCATAAAAGTGCATTAAATATTTATCTTTCATTATATACTTATGTAAGTATGCTATTGTAACACCGTCAAATCCTAACCTATCAGTTAATATTTAAAAATACATCATAAATTATAAAGGAGAATGGCACACGTCTTCCTACTCGATGGGTGTTACTTAATTAAAGAAGAATATAAGAGCATGTCCTATTTCTGTCATTGGAATAAAATTATTTCTAAAATATTAAAATCAATAAAAGACATTTACATTTGAATCGCCCCTTCAATAGGTACTATCGATTGAATAGTTCAATGCACATAAAATCATTGAAGTTCGATAAATAGTCAATAATTCAAGTCTATAAACACTTGATGATTATGACATATGTCAAGAATTTTCTCGATACTTTTATATGATGACTTGTATGAGTAAAAACAACATCAAAATAGTTAAATAAATAAGAATAATGATACATTATGACGAATTTATATGTGTTGATATCGAATAATGAAAACATTGTTTTTTTTTTTACAATGTTTCATTTACATCACTATACTAATAATTTTTCAAGAACTAAGTATATCAATTATATCGCTGATAAAGTTAAATTAGTACAACATTCAACTATAACATCTGGTATTCATAAAGAAGTATTTTAAGTTCAACAAACACGGCATTTGTATGAATATGTTGGAATGCGATCAAGAATGGTCTGCGGTTATTGATCATCACAGATGATAATGATAATTTCGGCTAGTTGAAGAGAAAAAAAAGAACAAAGGCTGTTAACATTTTCATATCATATCTTTAGGTCAAAAAGAATCGACTCTATCGATGAATATTTTCTTATACAGTAAGCCTATTGGGATGTTTGATTTAGAATGGTTATTGTATTGTTTTTCTTCTAAATGATGTAGCTTTCAGTTCATTAGCTATAATTACTGATTATGTGCATATAGAATAATTCAATTAATATAACTCTTATTGTAAGTCGTAGCATTATATTTATTCTACTGAGCATTATTGCTTTTTCTTTAGTATGATTTATTGATTAATATAAGTTTGATTTGTTACGATTAGTCAATCAAATTGCTTTTCGAAAGACTATCGATATTAGATAACTATTGGTTCGTTTTATTGTTTGAATTTTTTCTTCTTCTAAAGAGAACATCTAATTGTTCTTAGTTTTCGATATAATATTTAACAACTATAGACGAATGATTTGTAATATTAATGTTAGTTATTGTTATACTTGATGCTTGACAGGCTATTATGAATTTGCCTGTATATATTCTTTTTATTATTCTCAGTTGATTACTCTCGATACATACTATAGCAATGTATAGACGATAGTCATAAATCAAACTAAAAATAAAAAGTATCGAAATGAATGAATGTAAGCCTGCGTTAACATGGCTCGACTGCTTGTTTCATTCTATTGTTGAGCAATGTATAAACGAGGAAAAGAATTATTTGCAGAAAAACTTAATAGTAATACTATCTGCTTTATTCAGCTTGATTTTTTCAGGTAACTGTTTTTCTCTATATTAGAATAGTGTCATAGTAATGTATTTGCATTCTGCTATCAACAGAAATAACTCGGATATATATGTATATATATTCATCAGGAAAAATAAAATTGAGCATTCATTTATTATTCTAATATCCATATATCTAAACGTTATGACCCAAATTCGAATTCTAACTTTAATCTAACTAAATTAAAGCAAGTTTTCTGAAGAACCGAAGAATTTAAAGAACGACCAATAATTCAATCATGAAAGAGATTAGAGGGTGAGAGAGAAGGTCTGAAATGAAGGTAAGAGGATCTGAATAGAAATAAGAGAGATATTCGGATCTTACTCCGATTTTTACTTTTATCGTAGGCACATTTTACGCTTAACCCTTCACTGTGGGCATCCAGGCAAAGATTAAGTGAAAAATTGAAAGTATGTTTATTAATGATTTAAATAGGAGTAACATATACTCCGACTTATGAATTATCTAATGACATAAAAGTCTTTGTTCCTCTTGTTAAGCATTAATCAAGAGACGAGGCTAGTGAGGATTATACATAATCTGAAACAGTGTTTTTTGCTCTTTCCTTTTTATCTGTTTGGAATTAATAAAAACTTCATTCCTCTTTAATATTGAATTGTTTATAGAAAGATGTGTTGAGTGTAATAAGTTTGCACAATTTTCTACAAGTTCACATTAGACGAAACTTTCACAGAGTATCTCTTCATTCATAGCATCTCTGAACTATAGGTTTTCTATAAAACTCTGGATTTTTAAGGTAAAACTAATTTTTCTTGATATAGAAACGCTTGTATTAAAGACTAACTTCACATTTGGAATCAGCATCAAATAATACATAATTTGTTAGTTTTCTTTCGAATATAACTTTTTCAGATTATATCGTTATTTGAGAGATGATAAAGCTATATAGAACAGTAAATAAAATATTTCTAAGTCAAAACAAAAAAGAAACACAAGTCCATCTGATTTATAGAAAAATATCCACTGTACTTCTTTCATGAATCACTTATGGATTTTTCTTGACGTTCTACAGTTTATCAGAAAAATATATCACTCTAGTCTAGACAAATTAAAAATGGAGCTCAATTTTAACTTGAGCCACACAATATTGATGAATAAAAGTAGCTTTGAAATATCTCTAACATGAGCATCTCGTTATTCCTACATCCTAAATTAATAATAATCTGTGAAATTTTATTTCGAAGAACAGAAGAACTCTTATTCTGTTACATTTACTAGCGTCATCTACTTGAAAATCACGCGCTGTAGTAGATTTATTACTTTTCATGGATTGGTTCGTATCACAAAATCGATATTCTATCGAAAGACAAATAGGTAGACGTAAGGATTAATTTTAACATCTCTTTTAGTTTTTATCATTGTTCAGTTAATAATAGTGAGTAAGACAATGAATAATCAGTTAATTCAATTGTGTTTTGTTTGGATTTTTTTTTGGTTTTTAAATGATTCAATTTGTCGCAATTTAATGTTACAATGAAAGACGATCTTGTCGAATCACAAATAGTAAAAATGAATAAAATATCCGAAAAATCATCAGGTTAGAAAACAAAAACAAAGATTCAATAGAAATTCTAAAACAAAAATTAATTTTAATTATAGATAATCACGATAAACCTTCAATGATAGCTCAGCTTGCAAGTTTACAAAGACTAAAAGAAGTAAAATTATTCTTCAAACAAAAGAAAAACAAAAACTAAATTCCATTTTAAAATTTATTTTTTATTTCTTTAGGTTGGTTGGTACTGGGGTCCATTAAGTTGGATTGAAGCTGAACGATTACTCAAAGATAAACAAGATTATTCATTTATCGTTCGAGATAGTAGTCATCGACATTATTTTTTAGCAATAACATTTAAATCACAAGGCAATATTCATCATACTCGAATTGAACATAGCAACAGTATGTTTTTATTTTAATCAAATTTTTATATATTGTTTTGTTTGAATTGTTTTCTTTTATTCTAGATTCCTTTAGTTTTTATCATGGAAATTCAAAATCACAGTGTACATCACCTGATATTGTCGAATTTATCGAAAATACAATTGAACATTCAAAATCGGGTCAATTTATGTTTTTTATTCGATCAAATATACCCGGTATAAATAAAGAAAATATTTATCAGTATAATTTTTTTTATAGTCTGAAAGATCTTCTCATGAAAGGAAATCGTTCATGTAGATTAAAATGAAAAAAAAAACAAAGTTGATAGAAATTTATTAGTTCCAAGTATCGATGTCAAATAGAAGATAAGGATTGATTATTTAGAACGTTTAAATGGTATTGGAACAATATTAACTATGAATTGAAAATAGACAGAAAATTCAAAATAAAATTTTATTGAAATTGTTTATCTAGCTTTCATACATGTAGAGATATAATTAACTTAGAAATTGGATTAGGAACAAAATGAATAATCAAACTTGACGACGAAGCATTCCTCATTAGTAAATCGGTTGTCACTTGAGACTATTATCATTCGATTGATTATAATGAACAAGTCTCTTTTGGTTTGTTTTTTTCGGGTCTCCGCTTGTCGTTTTAGTTGTTTTTTTTTGTGACAGTTGAAGATCTGTGAGAATCTAGATAATCGGAAGTTTTATTCATACAGAGGCCCTATTATCACAAGAAACTTCTCAGAATTTGAGCCATAACGAATGCACCCTAATTGAGTTATGAGCTTATCATGAAAATGTTCTTGATTAGAAATATATCTCAGAACAGATGTTTCATCTAAATGTGAATATCTCAGTAACAATACATTCGTTCTGGCTCAAATTTTAAGTCATTTCTAGTGACAATAAGACCTATCGATGAATAAAATTTCTGATTATCTAAGTTCTTAGTGATCCTTATAGATCAAAACACCAAATCAAAACAATCTTCTCGATTGCTCATTAAGATCAAACAAATTGCAATAATCTTAAATGAAAAGTGATTTAACAGTTTGGAAGATTTGTTCGCAATATTTTTCCAAAAAAAATCTACAAAAAGTTTGAAAGTTAACATTTGATTTTATTGTTTGAAAAAAAACTTAATCGAAAATTCAAAATTGTTTAATACTTACTTACTATTAAGTTAAAGAGAAATTTTAAAACAATGGATGATCGGAAAGGTTTTTAGACAAAATTTTTGTTCAAATGTGACCCATTAGAAAGTATCAATAGCTATGATTTAAGATACTCTTTTCGAATATAAGCTTAAAAACTTTGTCTAAGTTTTTGTTCGAGAGCTGTAAAATAATCTTTAAAAAGCTAAGAAAAAATTAGTTTGGATGGAACTTAACGGCCAATGTTTTTCATGAACATAGTTCTACATTTTCGTCTGCCTGACAACATTTCAGACGAGAGTTAAAAACTATCAATCGCGACAAGAATTTAGAAATGTTGTGTCTATTGTTGTTGAAGACTGAATCGAAGCGAGTTTGATTTGTTCGAGTAGTCCAAGTTCCCCATAATCAGGAGCAGACGATAGGTTAGAAATTCCTTCTTGGGCAATCAGGGTATGGCACTAGAATTGATATTTGTGCAAATTAATACTTTTTCATACACTTGTGAATTAAAATAAAGTTTTTAATATTAATGCATAAGTATTACTAGTACATTTTAGTAATAATAAATAATCTCACACAGTTACATACGATTATTTATCATAATACAGAAAAAGGAGAGAAATTTGAAATAAAAGAATTATGCAATATAGAACTAGTTTATCATCAAAAACATAAATAGTAACACTTCTGAAATGAAAAAGAAAAGGTTATGTTAAATGGAAATTAAATTAAAGATGCCAAGTGATCAATCAAAGCTCTTTTCATCTTCATCGGTCGTATTACATTTTTAGAAAAGCAATTATAATTCAATCAATAATTATTTCATTTGAGACTTGACTCCGTTTGACTATATTTTGAAAAATTAGTTTGGGTCTGGTTCGTCATCGGTCTTTTGGTGATGGACTTTTTGAGACATCTGAATAATTGTTATTAATAGTGAATCAATAAGTATTTGTTTATCCTATTGTAGATTTTCTAGACTTTTCAAAGATTATTTCACCACGCTCGAACAAAAAGCCGAGACAAAAACAATTCTTGAATTCATAGCTTTTGACTCTTCGGATATACATCAAAGTGAACAAACATCTTGAAAAACTTTGTGTCTTCGCAACAGAAAGGAATTTTCCTAATATTTTGTAATAAAAGCGTGAATCAAGAATTACTGGTTATTGAGATTTCATGAAAATCGGTTAAAAGTAGTCTAGAAAAGTATACTCGAAATAGCAAGGTGAGAAGTCCTTAATTTAGACCAAAATTAATTCATCATACCAGGATAATTGTTCATAAACATAATAAATTCATTCAGTCTGTTTCGAGATTCTCATCATATGATGAGAAAGTGTTAGCTCAATATTTAGAGTTGAGATTTTGATGACGACTGCAAATGTATCAGTTCAAAATTTTCGCCCTCATGTCTCTTAATCATAAAAACAATGAAAATCGTTATACAAAACAGTGAAAACTAGTCGATGTTAAGAGTTCAGCCGACCCAGAGCAGTTACCAGTCGACTGACTAGTCTCATACTGGTTCCAAGTGTGTTTTGAATTGTTAAGTTTTACTAAATAAAATTCGAATTTTTTCTCTGTAGGTCAACCAATGACGCCTGTTCGTCTTCTATATCCAGTATCACGTTTTGCGTATATGTCATCATTAAAACATATAGCCCGGTTTGTAATACATCGACAAATAAGTCGAGATCGTATCGATGATCTTGATCTTCCACGACGATTAAAATCATTTTTAAAAGAAGCTCAGATTTATACTGAAAATATTCCTTCATCAGATGATACATCAGAAACTTGAAAGTTTTTGTTTCTATTGTTTTTTTTTTGTTTTCAATATTTTAAAATAACCGTCTTCACTCAGTGCCTTATTTGATGGACAGAAAAAAAAAGAAATCAAATAAAATATAACAGTCTTTTGTTTTTCGATTGTGTGTGATTTATTCAGAAAATTTCTTTATGTATTTTTTTTTTGGATAATGTGAATATAATATAAACAAGAAAAATATGTTTTCTTTGAATTCACGAACTTTGTTTTATATACATATATAAAGATTTTTCTCTATTTGTTTAACTAACAAAAGAACAATGATACAACAGAAAAATATTTATTATAACAGATAAATATTCATTAAGGCCCTCCCCCCACTCCAAAAACTATCTCGAGTCAGGTACATGCAAATTGACTGAAATTTTTAGGGTACGTTGGGACTGTAGTGGAGAGGCTATGGTAAAAATTTCAGCCCTGTATCATGACGTTGAAGGGAGATATTCACCAAACAAGGGTCAAAAATAGCTCATTTGGCATCCAAAAGTTCTCAATGAGTCTTCATTCTACAGACTTAATTTTTTTTTGTTTGAAAGAGCATGTCAAGATGCAGGGCATGTCGTTGTGCTTTATTCTAAATTCTCAGTTTTTATCTGAAAAAAAAAGTGACAAGTTGAAGGCCTAATAAAACTCTATAAAAGTGGTGATTTTTCTATATATGTGCCTGTATGTATAATAAAACCAAGCGTAATTAAAAAAAAGGACAACGAAATTCCCTGCATCTTGATATGCTCTTTCAAACAAAGAAAAATTTAAATATATTGAATGAGTCTGGACCGAGAATTCTTGGCCACAAGATAAAAAAACCATAAACCGAGAAAAAAAGAAAAACATTTTTTGATTTTTCAAAAAACAGCTGGTTTTTCGAATAGGGGGTGACGAAAATCTTCGAAAATTTTGGACAAAAAGGAGGTATCGAGGAAAACTTTTTGTCAGTTATGAAAGAGCAGATTACGGGCTATCTTCACATNCCTAAATTAAAATCCCTATTTGGTCACCAGTATGAACGTTACTTGATTAATTATCCATAAATGTGGATTTCATTTAGGGATGAATTCAGGGAACCTGATTTGTGGAAAATGATAACCTACCTATTCATAGAGTCAATTAAAATGAATGATAGTTGAATAAATAAATATGTAAGTAACACAAAATATGCTTGAATTCCATCCTGATTCGATAATTTTCTTTCAGGTTTTTGATTAGCATGCCCATCGTCATCACCAAACAATAACAAGAAACAAGATATACATAACTATTAGATAAATATAGATCAAAATAAATTTTTTTGATATATTCTCTTTTTTTATTCAAAATATTATCTTGTTAAATCACTCAGCTGGATATAAATCCATATTATTGTTCTGTATATTTTGTGATGTTGTTATTGTTGACTGAAGATGGTGGGTGTATTCACTAGAATTCAAAAAAACTCGAGTTTTTGATAAAGTTAATATGTATTTTATGAAAACTATATACAGAATTATTTATTAAACTATCATCTATTCTTCTTCTCCTACTAGATCTATATACATTACAGTTACTTCATTTGATCTTATTATCTATTTTTGTATTTCTTCGAATCTAGTATAATATCTATGCAGCAAAAACTGTATATTAAGTAGGCAAGTAACTCGCCGAGTTTTGGATCTCTGATTCAGAACATAGTTACTAGATAATCATTGTAACCAGGTTACATACAAATACAGGGGAGCTTCCGCTTCTAGACGTTATCCTTTTAGTCATGAGAATGCTCTTGCTAAAGTGTCCCGAACTCATCACTCACAAAAATATTAATATTATCAAAGTAGGTCAAATGCTTTCTTCATTAATGTTCTCTCTCTCTCATTTATTATTTCTATATTTCTAGTATTTCGGTCTTTGGTATGAAATCAAAAGAAATCATATCCAAATATGAAAATGCTACCTATACAGCCAATGATAATGGAACATTTGGTGTATATAATCAAGCTATTACGACATATAAAGATTATTACATCATTTGAGGCACTGCAAGAATAGAAAATCCTTCAGATTCAACTGCTTTGGAAGTTATTTTTTCTAATCCTCGTAAGACTCTTTCTTTGCCTTTCGTTTATCTTCAATTAATTGGCTTTTTTAATCTATGCAGCTCGAAAAGGTGACTTTAATGTAATTACAACAAATCAGAATGAATATGTACTTGTTTCTGCTTGTGAATCTATACCTATTGTAGCTATAAATTTGAATTTATCTGGCTTCTTTCGTAAGTTATACTTGTCTCATTAAATTAATATTCAAAAAGATTTGTATTTTATTTTATTTCGACGAACTAAAGCATTATTATCATCACGAAAAGATTCTAAAAGGCATGAAAACTAATGTAGATAGTGTTAAACCAACACAACACAAGATTGCTCATAATTTTTTTTTTTTTATTTATAATTCATATATAATAAAAATCAAAACTATCTTAGCCATAAATTCATTCGATGATTTCTTTTATTGTGTAAACAATTTCTTATTCTCACTGAAAATATTCATTTCTCGAATCATGAAAGATCAGCAGTCCAGCTTCTTACATTTCAATATCAATTAATATTTGATCAGAAAATCTTTAACATAGTTAAGAAAAATTTCTGAAATAATACTATCTATTAAGTTAGGTTCTTTTGTGTAATTCATTGATAAACAAAAACAAAGTGAGGAATAACAATAAGAAGAAAAAAGCAAACAAGTGAGTTCATGCTTTTGTTAAACCCATTCTCTTGGTTCTTTTAAAACTTTCATAAGTTTCATTTCCGGTGAATCAGCTTTGAAATCCCATGTATATTTCCATTTAGCTACCGGTGGTAATGACATAAGTATACTTTCAATTCGTGAACCAGGTGTTTGTAAACCAAATTTTGTACCACGATCTAATACAAGATTAAATTCTGCATAACGTCCACGTCTTAATAATTGCCAGTCACGTTCTTGTGTTGTATATGATCGTTGATAATTTGATTGTACTACAGGTATATAAGATGGTATAACTGTATTTGCACAATCTTTAATAAAGCTAAAGCATGCTTCTTGATTCGGTTGATTGAAATCATCAAAAAATACTCCACCAATACCACGACGTTCATTGTGACGAAAAGTTATATTAAAATATTCATCGCACCATTTTTTAAATTTTGGATAATAAGAACGATCATGTTTATCGCAAGCCTTTTTTAATGTTGCATGAAAATGTTTACAATCATTTTCATTTAAATAATAAGGTGTCATATCAGTCCCACTAAAAGAACAATATAGTTTTATATATTCATATGAATTATTATGTTGATTTAATAACGAAAAAATAAAATGAAAAACTTACCCACCATACCACCAATGTACTTTTCCATCAACATCAACTAATTCAAAATATCGATAATTAAAATGTACTGTTGGTACATGTGGATTTCTTGGATGAATAACTGATGAAATTCCAGCGGCAAAAAAATCTAATGGTGTATTTCGAGAAGCAAATTGATGACCACGTGCTCTCATTTGTTCTATTGCTTGAGCAGGTAATTTACCATGGACAACTGATACATTAACACCTGCTGATTCAAAAACTTCTCCATCTTGCATAACACATGTTATACCACCACCACCTTCCGATCGAGTCCAACGATCGATTGTAAATCGAATTCCACTATTTTTTTTCGCTTCACATTGTTCCAATGAATTACAAATTTGTTTTTGTAATTTTAATATAAAAATTTCCATTCGTTGTCTATATGAATCAGAACCTTTTTTAAGAATATCTCCATTTGTTATTGATTCAGCCATAAATGATTCAAATGGTTTATCAGGATAATTTTCCGAAACATCAGTATCAAGTGAAGTTGGTGTTAAACGAAAAAAATCAAGCATAGCAGCATGATGTTTATTAAATGGATTTTGAACGTAATAATAAGTAACAGCTGTAACTGTACCTAATGCATAAGGTAAAGCAGTTTTTATTTGTTTTCCTAAACGATTAAATGATACAACACCAAATATTGCTGCTCGCCGAAAAGACATTATCTGAAAAATGGAATGAAACATATTTTTATTGATATTCTTTTAGATTGATTTTTATTCATCTGTTTCAATTGTTTTTCTTTTTTTCTTTTTCTTTTTTTCTATAATTTGTTCAACTAAGTTTTCACACGAAGATGAGAAAATACGTTCTTCTTGTTCTTGTAATCGTTGTAATTTTCCATTCATATTTATGCCATGACGAGCACCTCTAGACAAAACAAAAAAAAAATAATTTTTTTTTACCAATGAGACTTATTCACGAATTTCTTATTGACGACGCACATGCATAAAAAGTGACCCCATGCTAACTTATTTATTGCTGAGGGCGTTTCCTTTTACTTTCATCTCTCTTTTTCAATTGCCTGCCTAGCATATGTTAGCAAGACGATTGAAAAAGCCAAATGAAAGCACAAGGTACCATCCTTAGTAAATAAAAAGCTAGTATATGGTCACTTTTATACACGTGCGTGTGCTCAATAAGCAAGCCATGAATAAGGTTCATTGATTATTACTTATGAGCTGTTCGACCACCACATATTCGAAGTAACTCATTATCAGTTGGTCTAAAAATAAAATCAGCAATTGAATTTCTTTTTTTTTTTCAAAATTAATTATTAGATTGAACATACATTGAACAAGTATTAATTTCAGTAACATCAGTTTCTTTTTCGACTCGAAGAGATTCTTCTTTATTACCCATTAAAACCGAACTCTAGAAACATAAATAAATAAATAAATAAATAACAGTTTAGACATACTAAGTCGCAGCGTTTTGCATTTCAATTTTAAACGATTAAACACATTATATTAAGAAAAAGCGAAATATACTACAAGATGCAGTATGAAAAAACTACAATTTTATAAAGAAATATTTATTTTATAGTTGTATCTTTTGTTTTCGAAATGGACACAAGTTTGCTCTATCAGTTTTATTTAGTTCGTATGTTCCACTAACAAATACTATCTGAGTGAAAGAGGAAATAGAACTAGAACAAATATTGATTGGTCTAAATTCGATCATCGGCCATGACCTGCGATATGGCTGATTAACCAAACCGATAAGAATATGAGTTTATCCTATACCAATAAATGACTTTATTGGCAGGATCAAAATATGATTCCTTAGAATTTCTCTCATTTTGAACACAAAATGTTAATACAATGTATTAAATGATTAAAAATTGAAATACAAAACTCCATCATTTATTATATTTCATTCGTTGCTACATTTATTATTAGTAATAGATAGATCGTAAAGAATAATACGATCAATATATTGTCTGTATTCTTCATTCTAGAAACATATATTTTTCTACAACGATTCGCTTATGTCAATCATTTTTACTTCTTTATCTGTTTTGTTCGTTAATGAAAAGGTTAGTAAAGAAAAAGAAATCGATGCCTAAACTATACTAATATCAATATGTAAGATTCTCTAAATGCTAATAATGTGAGCTTGTCACAAATGACTTCAATATTTTTATTATGTTTCTATACAAAAAATCATTTGAAAATAAATAAAACTTTGATACACAAAATACTGATTGTACTATATGTTAGAATGTATCTATTGAATATATTTCAGCTTACTTTTTCAAATCGAGAATAAATAGACTTTTTTGAACTTTCTTTTTCTTCTTCATTATCTTCTTTATGTTTACGTTTTTTTTCTTTTTTTTCTTCACCTTCAGATTGTTCAAGAGATTGTGAGACTTTTTTTGCAGCTCGATTATATGAATATTCCCACCATTTAAATTCACTTGAATATTCATCTTTTTGATTACATCCAACCTAAAACTAAAATATGAACAATCAAAGAAAAAAAACAACAAAACCAGAACGAAAGAACTTTGTTTTATTGAATATTTTTTACAAATTATAATCAAATAAACTTACTCCTCGTGTATCAAATTTCAAAACTGGCTTAAGAGCTGTTTTCATTCCTTGATTATCTTTACCAAGACCTTTATCTAAATAAAAATCAATTTTCAAAAACAAAAAAAAAAAAGAGCTATTAAAAAATTTACCGGCATCCCAGCCATATTTTCGTAACATTCTCTCAGCAAATTCCATTTTCAATAAGTTGTTTCAAATTTGTACGAGAGAATCTGAAAATAATACACTTAAATTCATATAAGAATTCCATAATAAATAACAAGACAATGTTGAGTACTTCTTCATATTACACGCATATGTTTAGCCTCTCATATTACTGTACCAAACAATGTGTATAATACTTTGAAGATGGACCCAATGTTGCATATTGTAGTCGATAATTATTTTTTAATTGACCAATCAATGAGTAGTTTAAATTATGTCAACGGATATTAATGCCATCTAGCGAACTAAAGTCTCATATAGTTTACATATATATACCGTAAATTCTTATTGTTTGGTTAAGATTTTATTTTTCTTATATTATTAAAAAGTTGAATATGAGTTATCGTAAATCTTTATATCAGAATATTTAGGTACTTTCTGATGAGATTGTTTTTTACAAAAGTTAATAAAACTTTTTGCTGTATTTATTAAACAAAGACGTCAGGAACATTTTGTTAAATAAACCATTTTATCGTCCAATGTACTACAATCTGTTTATTAGTTATATGAAACAGATTGCATAAGCAGAGCGTTAATAAATAGTTCTGGTTTACATAATGCTGAAAACAAAAACAGATTACTAGATAGTTTTTATTGTACTCTCATTGTTTTGCAATTTTTAATGAATAAATAATGCCACCTTTATCTCTTTCTCTACATTACGAGTATAACTGTTTCTTTCACTGATCATCACTCTATATGTGATTGATATGCTGTCTAAACTTCCTATCTATCTATCTATCTATTTATATAAGTATGCGTTCAATGTGTGTTTAATAGACTGGATTGTATGAAGATGTGAGAAAAAGTAAAGAATATTTTCTTCGCTTCAATTCATCACTACATTATCATTTCATTGATTATCAATGATATATATGCACTTTATATTCTTTATTTTAATCGAATTGATACTTAAGAATATATAACAGAAATCTAATTGTTAAAAATAATATATTAAAAGTCATAGTACGCAAAAAATTAAGCTAATTATAATAAGAATCAATTATTAAATCTGAAATCATTTCTTTTGATTGAATCTTGCTAATTAAAGAAGACATATCTTATGGTCGTTATTAAAACTTGTTCTGTTCATTTTATTTTGAAATGTAACACTCGACACTGCTTACATATACATATATATCAGATGAAAATAGGATAACAAATGCAGATTAGTGTATTATATAAACACAAACATAAATAGAACACACTAGAACCTATATTTGGAAAGTAACATAAAGGAAAAAGAAATACAAAAAGAAACTATGAATAATGTGTTCTTAAGAAGTAATCGTATTAATACATTAATTGATTTGCATGACAATAACAAAGAAATCTTATCGATGTAACCTTTTTCTCTTTCAAAAAACATATACCAAAATAGATATCAATTCAATCAAATTGTTTCGTCTTTGTCATTTCATATTTATCAAAAAAACTTCTTCCTTTTGTCTATATACTCTGTAATTCAAAACTTTACATATTAACCGACAATACTTATACGAAAGTTTATGTTTGCAAGCTTATTAAGTCTTTCTTTGAATCAAGACTATAAATTAATTCAAATGTCATTGAATATTTTTATTTCCATTACATCATTGAACGGATCGAAGTGGTTGCATTTCTCTTTTTTTTATGATATAAATATCATTACATTCGATTTAATCTTTATCTCTTTCTCTAATAACCTTTTTCTTTTCAAAAGATCAAATTATTGATATCATTATCAAATGAAATTAATATGTCTAAACATATTTAATGAAATTAAAAAAAAAACCAATCAATTTAATTTCTAATAAATGTATTTTATATATTATTTGATTTACACACTTAAAATTGAATATACAAAGCAATATATGCACAAAACAATCATACAATAAGAATCTAAATTCAATGAGATAATAAACCTCATTCCACCTATATGGAATTCACAGATCACTCGATGAACTACAAGAATAAATGTATGCACACAACACAAGACAAAGCTGAAATATAGATATATAGTTGTTTTTCTTTAATTGATCCTGAGCAATGCTAATTAAACACAACAGAAAAAAAGCCAAAAAAAAATTATTTTGACAAATAAGATGACGAATATTTTTATTGTTGCTTATTGTTTCTTAATTAAATTACCCACGAGAAACAGCTGCATATCCAGCACGTGCACGTTGAGATACAACACCATATAAAAGAAGAGCGATAAGTACGGCACCAGCAGTGGCTAATGCCAAAATAGCCACACGATAAACGACTTTAGATTTCATTTGAAAATAAGCATTAACACAAAGGTTAACGAAATCTGTTTTATTATTTGTATTTTCATCATTACCTAGAAAAATAACATTAAATAAATCTTAAAATGAACTTCTTGTACCTGAATCGACACAGCGAGCATCTGTTCTTTCTCCAGAACCTGTATTTGTATTATATACAATACAGCAATTGTAATGCTAAAAAATTTCCGAAATTTTTTTTCTTAAATATCATTAATTTTCAAATGTTTATACTTCATTCAAAAAAGCAGTCTCCTTCTTGAGTATCGGTGTTAATTCTGTCAGTTTGTCTTTCAAACGATTTATATCCAAACCAATACTTTTTTCTAAACGACCTGTTTTAAATGAAACCATTGCCCAAGCACCAAGAATCACTAAAAACAAAACATTAATTTAGCAAAAAACACAAAAGAAACAAATCATTCAAATTTTTTTCTTACCAAGTACTACAAATAAAATGAACAGTAATACAAGTGATACCAAACGTACAGTCGAAATATCCTTCAGAGCTCCCAATACACCCAAAAGTACAGTTATTATTAATAAACCACCAACAACAATAAGGATGATACTTATTGTAAATAAACTAATTGCGCCATAATTATATTCGACGCCAACATTTTGAATTAATAAAAAAATTCCATAGACCAATGAAACAATACCACTTATAAGTGTAATAGCGGCAAAGGCTCCTAGAAGAGAAGATACATTATACAAATGACGATGTTTGATTCAACTTTTTGTTTGACAAATCTACTTAGTTTTCCTCTTTTTTTCTATTCAAGTAGCTTTATTATGCTTCAATAATTCTTTTACAAAAGAAGCGAGACTCGATGAATAAAAGGAAGAAGAAAAAATGACGACTTCTCTTGAAACCAACATTTAGTTGTGAAAGAAACCTTTCAAATTCATCAACATAAAAATCATACAAACGCTTTGATACTTTTATTTTATATTTACTTACCTAATAGACCTTTTGAAGTACCATCAATTTCAGCTGCCATTATATTTACTCAAATAACTAAATGTCTAAATAAAACAATCGATTAAGCTTGTAGTTTTATACTGAATCTAATAACAATGATTATTAATAGTAAAAAAAGAAAGGAAAATAGTAAAAAAAAAAAAAAGGAAAATGGAAAAAAAA